TACAAACAGAAATGATTAAAGTGACATTAAGGCATTAAGAAGCAAATATAGAAAATATATACTGCTGCACAGCAAAACTCAGCTGTTTCTGTGGGTAAGCTAAAGATGCGATCCTTCACATCGTTACAATGAGCTATCGCACGTAAAAACCCAAGCCATCACCACCGCTGCTGACACCCCCGGACACTGTTAGGCAGAAAGGAGAGAAGAGGCAGAGCGTACAGGCAGAGGCACGGCGGGAAAGCACCTACCGAAACCCTTGTTCTCTGATGGCAAAGGCCGGCGTTTCCAAAGGGAAGATCTCAGACTGGACGAACAGCTCACGCACCCGACGATCTATGACTTTCCCGTACTGCGCTCCGGCATCGAGGATGACGACGGCTCCCTCGTAGTGGTGCTGCCCATCCTTGAGGTCTCCTCCGGCGTTCTCCGGCTGCGAACATCACTCATGTCAGCGCTTTACAGTGACACGCTGCAGACCGCAGGCTTTAAGCCAGAGCTCTTAAACAACTAACATCTGCAAAGCTTGCTAAGGTTGCCTGTGTGATAATTTATGATTAAAATGATAAAGACTAGCAGAGAAACTTCTAAATGAAAAAAATCCTCTAGTTTATAGGGACCAGCAGATACACTGGCAAGATAAAGGGGCTATACATTAACACGGCACATCCCTCCCAAACAGCCGTACAAACATGACATCCCCATCCCCAAAACCAAACATGGTACAAATCAGGGAAAAATAAAATGTGACTAAGCTAACGAAGGCAGAGCTTTCCATAAATAAGAAGTCATATGCCCCATTCACCAGTGCAGCCTCGCCAGCTTTTTCCGTTTTACAGTTCCATACAAACCCCAGCACACCCTATGATAATTAAGACCATGTGCCTTTTTCTCAAGCAAAACAGGACAGTGCAAAGTCAGAAGAAAAATGTTTTTCCCCCATCACACTGCCTCATACACTGAACTTTCACTTGACGTTACCTCCTGGAGAGAATAAAAAGGAGAAATTGAGAACAAATGTCTCTGCTAAAATGATTTAAAAGAAAAAAAAACCCAAACCAACAAAACAACCCAACTTTTGACTGCAGCATTCAAGCAGATCGCACATCGGAACAAAGCAACGGTTCTCTTTGACCCCATCACATTTGAATTGACTGGTCAACTTCAGCCAAATCTGAAGGAGCGCTAGACAACACAAGGACATGTTTCTTCTTTTTTTTTTTAAAAAAAGAAAAAAAGAAATTGTGAAAAGAAGCAGCTAATTCCATGGAACTGTCCTTATCGGAGGATCTTCAACGAAGAATTTGAACTCAACCACACTGTTAGACACCCAAGAAATTAATGCAGAAAAAATTCTGCCCCTTTAAGGAATTACTTACTTTAGGGGTGTTTTTTCCTTAACTTAAAGCTTACTGTTTCCTTGCCAATGTAATTTGATGAAGGAAAAACATGGAAAGGTTTTACCTCGGCAAACACTGCCTCAAAAGACATCTTGAAGCTTACGACCGTTTCAAGTTTTAATTATGGCACATTAGAGTTGTTCTGCGTGTTTGTACCGGGCAACACAGCCTTCGGCCCAGGGCTCACAGGTTCCCCCCGCCGCTGCCCAGGCTCCGAAGGAAGCTGGGGCAGCCTGCAGCACACCACGCTATTTCCACGCAGGTCAGATAATCAACCCCGCATCAACCACAGGTCATTCTGGAGGAGAGCATTATCCCGCAGGGACACATTCTCCCCAACAAACACACAGCAAATGTTGCCTTCAAGCTTTCTTCCTCAGCTACCATGAGACGCCTCAGACAACAGTCTTCAAATTAGCCATGGAAGGCAAGCACACTGGAAACTTCCAAAGTTTACACCAGCTGGAAAAGGTTTTATCTAAATTGAAGGACAGAAGCAGAAAAAAATAGTGCTAAATCCCTCAAAAGCCTAAATCCAGGTTTGAGACAGTTACTTAATTTCCCTTCCTTCAGCTGGTAGCTGAGTGTGCCTGATGGGAGCTCTTAATGACTTTTTTAGTCTTGGGTTACGCAACCAAAAGGGCACGTACTGGAGGAGAGCAGACTTCAGCAGCAAACGCCCCTTCAAACCCCCTGGTCAGACAGAGAGAGGTCACCACAACTGTCTTCCCTTCCAGGATGGGAGGGAATCCCTTTTAGAGTAATTCTGGGCAGTTTCACCTAGCAATTGCTAAATCAGCAGGTTTTGCAGGAAAGACCAACATCCTTATCCTTTCCTGATCCCATCTTGCAGCAAACACTATTCCTCGTGGTGCTCCTTCTTATTAAAAGTCGTTATTTGTTTCAAAGTACGTGCTGTAGCTTGTACCACGAAGGGACAGAGCTCTGCAGCCCTCTCGGCTTAGTGTCTGAGATTGCCCACTTCCACCTGCAAGAGACCAGGGTGGGATGGAAGCGGTCCCCTCCAGTGCCCCCGGCAGCCAGGGGTGCACAGCCAGCCCCGGCACGGATGCGTCCCACTGGCCAGCACTGCTATCCACATGCATCGCACCCATCGTTCCGTCCCAACCTGCCCACCACCCCTAAGAACCTGCAGAACCAGCATGAAGAAAGTATTTGTACAGCTCTGAAGGCAGCGTTGACATTTTACAACAAAAAAGGCTAAACCCACATTATTGTTGGCAGCAGCTCAGCTGGCCCGATGGCCGAGCTGGTACATAAATCTGGCTTTCAGCGCCCGTGTCCTGAAGGCACCGAGCTGCTTTGAGCAGTCAGGTGTAGTTAGCTGCGGGGAGACGCGCGTGAAAACAGAGCGAGCTCAAAGCTACATTAGGAGTAGTTTGAGACACGTTGCACAAGGCAGCATAAGTAGGTCTGTATCTCAAATGAACCTGCACCTTCCTTAGTTCTCCTGCAAAAGCAGGACAGTGATACGTACCCTTCCGACTCGAGCACGAACCGGAGCAGCCTCTGCGCTGCAGTCACCCAGGCGCGAGCACTCGGCTCCCGAGCTGGCCAGCCCCGTCACTGAGCCGTCCCGCTTCTTCTCTCTCACAAAGTACAGCAAAGTTTTGCACAACCAGCAGGACGATTTCAGAGATAACTGCATCAACATTAGAATTACTTCTTAAGGGTTTATGTGGCCCTGAAAGGCCGCTGTTTAGGGCTTCAAGTAATAGCTCATTGCCCAAGTTTCGCTGGGAGTCCATCAATACCCTCCCAAAATCTCAAAAGCCAGCGTCTAATCATAGCTCACAAGGTTTTTCCTCAGATGATGCTAAGGGCATTTGGGCTAAAATCCAGTAGAAGTACTGCATCCATCGAGCAACACAGATCTCCTTAGGGAGAACACGTAAGATGAGAAAGGCAACATGCACCTCACCAGAAAAAAAAAAAAGCATTCAATTGGTGGCTTAACAACTCACTGCTCCCTTAGATGTGGGCTTAGAGTAAACTACAGGCTGAAATCATTTTCTCCCAGTACTACACAGGGCACTGCCTGCTGTCCGTTTCTCCTGCAGGCAACCCTGCAGCACGTCCCCAGCGTATGTCCAGTGAGCCCCATCCCGGGAGCCAGCGCAGGCGACCATCACCACACGGACTGCGCCAGAGGAGTTTCTGCACTTCACTTTTGAGCTGAAGTAGAACTGCGAGGAGGTTCAGCTCTGAAGAGAACCCAATAGAAATGCTACTGAAAATGACATGGAAAAAGAGGAAAGAGAAAGGTGGTAAGTCAGTACAGGATCTGGCTTTATTTATTTAAAGGCAGAGTTCCAAGGCTAGAGATTTTGAACACAAATTTAACGAGGGAAACTTAATTTAATAAAATCAAAAAAGGAACAGATGCTGTTAATGTGCAGCCAACACAGCAGTTTAGCTCATGTGTTTGTATGCCGTACACGTGCCAGGAGAAAGCTGAAGGGGATATCGGACGGCCCAGCTCCTGCAGGGACAGGCTTTATGGAGCCAGCACCTCTTCCTACTGGGGACTCTCCGGTTTCTAATAAGAGCTCTTCTTCCCCTCAGTAGGGGTAGAACTAGAGTTCCTTGTCTTCTCCTGGTCTATTTTCACAAAAATCTGAAGAACTTGCTATTTTTGAGAACTCCTGTCAAAGCTGGTTTGACAGCTGCCCACGGCAGTTCAGGCGTTGGGGCAGAGCAGAGGCACCAGCCTGATGTCCCAAGAGTGACTAAAAAGAGCATGGAACTTGTGTATACCAGGAGAAAAAAATGGAGGGAAA